CCCGGAGTCTTCTCTACGACTTTCCTATCCCCAATGATGTTCCCCTCATCCTTATATAGTATCGCCTACTGACCCTTCGGTTGTCGGAGGCTGGATTCCTCTGACACTCGGTTCCCTCAGAGCCCGTTCCATCAGCTCTATGAGGGCCTTGGGGGCGGGGGTGTCCGTGAACCCCAATCGCCCGGCCCTGCACCATGACCACGCGGGAACCCTGATGGCTTGCGTACCTGCCGGGCTGCTATTCACCAGGTCCACAGTTCAAAACCACCAATCCCTTCTCAGGAGAAAGACGAGGCTGTCCACTCCAGCCAGAAGTCACCGTCTTGGAAATCCACCGGGGGTGGGGGGAGAGGGGCAGTCCCGCCCCGTCCTCTAGGGGGGCTGGGAGTCCAAATCCACTCCATGGCATAGAGTCGGGTTGGTTCGCTTTGTACCCTCCTGACAAGCGGGGCTATGTGGGAGCCCGTTGGCCCAGCCACTGTGCCAGGCCCTCTCCTTGAGGGTCTCCGTCTTCTTCACGGACCCTCCACCTTACCAAGCCCCAGGTCCTGCTCGGAGCACATGCGCAAAGCAGCCGGTAGGCCAGCGCGGAATTGCTCGCCACCTGGGGGCGACTCGACGGTGAGCGCAGGTGGGTCCACTGAGGTCCAGAGACGGAAGGACCAACGGTCGCGAGGCACGGCGAAGGCCCAGGACGCCGACCCCGGTGGACAGCCCCCCCACTCTCCTCCTCCCCCAGGCCCAGTCCCCAGCCCCGTAAGGATACTGACTACCATGAGGATGGTGCAGGCGGTGCACAGGAGGAGGCGGAGCAGCCCAAGCCAGGGGGGCCCCGGGCGTGGCAGGTCCTTCCTCAGGTGCAACAGGAGGAGCTGCAGCCAGAAGTAGAGCGTGCCCACTGCGAAGGCGAAGAAGGAGCCGGTGAGGTGCACGGGGCGCAAGTTCTTTTGCTGATGGAGAAGGGGAGAGAGTGGGGGGTCAGAGACATGCCTGATGGCGGTGGAGGAGAAGGGGAGAGTTGGGGGCAGGGACACAGTGGGGGTGGAGGGGAAGGGGACATGTCACAACACGCCACAACAGTGGTCCACAGAGCGGTTGTCAGTGGCTAACCGAGAGGTCATGGATTTGAGCCCACTATCCGAGTGTAGCCTGGATGGTTACAGATTACTTCCCCAAAGTTAAAACAGTAACAGTAATGACGGGCCATGGATGGAGCACATGGCTTGCGTACTCTAGCACTATGAGTTGGAGACCACTGAATAGGTGAACGGTTAGGGTTGTATTTCCAGCCCTGGTGGTGCCTCGGGTTAAACGCTTGGCCGTTCACTGAAAAGTCCGCGCTTTGGACCCACAAGCTGCTCCTAGGGAGAAGGGTGAGGCTTTCTGCTCCTGTAAAGAGTTAGTCTCGGAAACCCACAGGGGCAGTTCTATCCCATCCTACGGGCCCCCCCTATGAATCCACATCAACTCAAAGGCACTGGGTTTGGGGTTTTGATGTACATTGCAACCTCAGGCCCTAGAATCATGCCGGGCAAATCCTTATGGCCAGGCAACCAATTCTGACTCCCAGGGACCCCTTAGGACAGAGTAGAACCGCCCCTGTGGGTTTCTGAGGTTGTCCATCTATACAGCAGCAGACAGCTGCCTCCTTCTGCCCGGGAGTGGCCGGTGGGCTTCAGCCGCTCACCTTATGGTGAGCAGGGAAATAATAGTCACCCCACAGCACCACCTTTAGTCACTGACAAAGCACAAAGCCTCAAACTCACTTAGGGGAGGCTGACTCATAGCGACTTTTTCTTTTTTGAAACTAACTTTTTTTTTTAAGTTTT